TTAGATCAACAGCTTAAACAAATATTTTCGTGCTTGCTAAATATGTAGTAGCTCCTGGCTCACCTACTACGACTCTTAGAGGTTAATTAAATGAATATGTCTCCATCTAGATCATAGCTGGGCAAAACGCTACTCGCGAGTAGCGTCTGCGTCGCAGCGCTTATACGTATACAGAAACGACGCAGCGAATTTCAATTCAGTCTGCTTTCAGATTTCATGAGAGTAACACTATGCTTCGCCGTTGAATATTTTTATTCGTAATTTTAGCGCGTGGTTGCCACCTATATATGTAACAATGCCCAAAATGTCTGAGTATGAGTGCCAATTACAGTTTTTGGTTTTAAAAAAAGCTAATAATGCCCAATGCTTGTTGTGTGGTAATACGACCATTAACCATAAACAAATGAAAAAAACGCTCCACTCAGTGCAATTATAGAAAAGTGCTTCTCAGCGCGACGCACTAGGGCACACATTGCATACTTTATTTTATANAATATTTCAAAAACTTGTATAAAAATTATTAAAATGGAAAATGAAATTTTAATTTTCTAAAAGAAGGCCATTTTAAAAGCAATTCATTTCATTTCGTCGGGAATAAAAAAAAGCGATCAAAACATTGACTGCTGGCAAGTCGACACGGAAAGTGGAGGGGAAGTTTTCATGGCTACCTTTCAATAGATCGGTTATTTAGCTTCAGGAATAGTATGTTTAACTGGACTTTAAGCAAAGTTGGTAAATCTAAATTTTGACCTTTTTTTTATAAAATACTTCTTGTGGGTCGTTGTAATGTTAACACTCAATCAATTTCAATACCGAACGTAAAAATAATTCTATGGAGCTTCTTAGTCCATATACGAATGTACATATTTATCTGGTTTTAGAGAATTTCTTTTGTGCGGGATCTCCCTGCCGGGTAATTTTAAACATATATTTACTATTACGCTCTAAGCAACCGTATTACCAAAGTACATACATACATTAATACAGAGATAAGTACATATGTACATAAGTACTTACACATATTGCAAAGAGTGCGGATCTGACTCTTTAGCTCTTCTGATATTGCTTAGATTAACAGCTTAAACAAATATTTTCGTGCTTGCTAAATATGTAGTAGCTCTTGGCCCACCTACTACGACTGTTAGAGGTTAATTAAATGAATATGTATACATGTAGGTATATTTGTTGAGCTTTTAAATTGGCTTGATCCTTTCATATACATAAATGAATGAATGTTTGTAGCACACACATCTGAAAAGTAGTGTCCAAGGAGCTTTGACATCTGATATTTTAGCTGCCTGCTGTCTCACTTTTTCCTTGCCAAATAATAGAAATGGCATATACAGCTCTACGTATTTTCTTCCATATAAAAAAAAGTCGGCTCATACCTTGTATGGAGAAAAATGCCTAGAGAAAAAAAAAATTATTAAGAATCAACACGATTTCTTTGCCACTACAAATTTGTACATGGTTATACTAAGATAAAATTGGCTATAATATTTTTAAAACTGCATATGAAGAATAAAAAAAAATCTGAGTGAAAAGTTCAAAATTTTGATGAAAACTCGTTAAATTTTCCTTAATTTTGTATATAGTTTGAAACTTTGATTTATATGATTTTGTTTATGGCAAATAAGCTCCTTTGATCTGGTGCTGACATCCTGTTGTCATTTCGTACAAGTTTTATAAAGTTATTGTCATTGTTCTTTCACATACATATGTCATATTCTCAGTCACTCAAATACTTGGTACATATGTATGTATGTAGATACGTAGAGCTTTCTACCTCTTTGTGAAAACGTGGCTTGCGATGAGTGCATTTACAGAATTTTATTGATACATTTGTACGTAATACCTATGTACATACATACATATGTGCATAAGGTACACTGATCCACAGATACCCGAACACTTTTGTTTATTCATGGGCATTAACCCACACGTATGCACAAGCGCCTGTAAGCTGTAAGCCTCGCTCATTCATACTACATATGTATGTATTATGCAAAAACTATGCTCAGCCACCTAAGTGGGTGGTTAAGTCGTTGATAAAGGATGCAGAGTAGTTGTCGGTGTAGGCGATGTCGGTTACAGTTTCGCTATTGCAGATGGTCATTGCGTGAGAATCTCTGCTAATTGTTTTACGCTCCAGCTGCATTGGATCAAATTGCTCAGTTTATATTCGTTCTCAGGCTTATAAGATTGCTCAGGGTGAGAAATGCTGGCTGGATATACTGGCGGCGATTGTGGATGATGGCTTGGTATTGGTAATTTCTGTTGCTGGACGCTTGTATCGTTGGATCATTGGCCGGTTGCGAGTGGCGTACGTGACTCTGGTATTATCAGTGATGTCTGCGGTGTTGTTATGAGCACCGTTGCGGATCTTCAGAAATCGTTCTGTTTCGCTTGCTTGTAGTGTCATCGTAGTCGTTCACGTTATTGTTGGTTAGTAATGTAATATTTTATTTCGCTTGGAGGTAATTTGATTTTTAATGACGCTTTGCTTACTGCAGCCAATATTTTTGTTATTATTATTGTTTTTTTTTTTGTTGCCAGTTCACTGTTTGCCATTTCGCGCTAAACAAGCGAATTTGAAGCAAACACATTTTGGATCCATTCAGTCTTGTGTCATTTTGATGATCATAAATGCTTACAATTACAATAGATTCAATATATATTTTACAACAGCATGCATGTACCGTAAGTATCCGGCTTGCATGCATATGCAAGTACATGTGTACATATGTATGTACTTAAAACATACGATACACAAGTGACGAGCTAAAAAAAATTAGTTAAACTTTTAATTTCTTACACAACAGTTATTTGGTTACGAAACTTCAAATTAAATCTAATTCTAACGATCTGAAATCGGTTTTCAAAATCAGTATACCAAAAATCTAAGCGTGTTGAGAAAAAATCGATCCTCTTGCTCCGCATTGTTCATTCTCCAATTGCGCGTGCATATAACTGGGTTAGACTCTTGGAGCATCTCCAATATTTACGCTGGGTTCGTTGGTGTCCAATCTCCCTCTATTTTGTTAAGGGATACCTCGATCACTGTCTTGCGATCACAGCAAAGTACCAAGTCTAGATGCTTTGTCACTGATTGGTGCCGTTACTGGTACTTCCTGCACCACTCGTTGGCACCTACCAATCTGTGCTTTTCTGTACGATTCGAAGTCAAAATCCAGAATTATTAGTGTCGTGTGTAGTAGTGATTAGTACGTCGGATTTAGACGGTGGCTTTGGAGACGTTTACTCTGTGGAAGTTCTTAGTACTATTGCGGGCCATCAAGCATGACACAGCAATCTGAACCGAAGCTGTTGGCTGGGCGGTGAGATGACTGCTCGAGGGAAAAAACGACCTCCCGGTTCATTAAACTTTTGTGAAAGGAACTAGTCGTTGAAGTGTTGGTGGTGACTGTGGGAAAACTGCTGCATACCTTTGTTGTTTGCTTTCTCTGCCGTAGAAAGCAAACAGGAAAGGGGTTTGAACAGGAAGATGTATGCATATGTTACTTAGGTTACTTGGAATAAAAAATTAGAAGAGATTTTATTTTTTTTTATTTCTTTAACCTTCAATAGGGCGCATAAAAAACTAAAAACCGAGATTCACTACATTTGTATAAATAACTAAGAAGTATTGTCACACGGTGTGGTAGAAGGCATGCTTATCGAATTTGGCAAAAAAGAACTTTTTCTTCTGAATTAAAAAAAGACAATTAACAGGCTAACCTAATATTCGCGGCTTGCGTTTTGGTACGCATGCCGTCGAATTAGTTTTTTTGCGTCACCCGAAATTGACTTGCATGCGTTTGCATTTGATTTCATTGAGCGAAACGTCAAATCAAAATGTCACGCAGAACAAAAATTGGAAATTGAGTTAGCTTCATACGCACGCCGTTCAATTTCGGTTGATCTCATACAAGTTGCATGTGCATGAGAAATATTTGAAATCAAATTTGTTTGAATGAATGTAAATGAAATTGGGCATTTGAAAACACATTTACATACCTTTGATTGTAGCTGAACTTGCAGAGGTTCTGTCTGTTGTTGGTTAGATTCCCAAAATGTTAAAACGTTAACACAAATTTTAGTTTTGTATTACCAAACTATGAAAAAGCTCTGCGAAGTGCAGAATGAAAGCGTATTTAAACGAAAAACCAGCCAAGCGAAAATCTATTTAAAGTAAACAAGCCCCCCGCTGCATCCCTATTTCGGTAGTTCCGAACTAGTTCAAAATTCGCCAGATAAAATCTAGTTTGTTCTGCATCCCTTTTTCTATAGTTTCGAACCAGTTCTAAATTCGTCATTTTAGATATAGATATCTAAAAATAAAAATGTTTTTTAAAAGTACCACATCTCTCTGCTTTTGAACTGGTGGCGATCTAGTTACTATCGGCCTGGTTCGGTTTTGGCGATAAAGATCTAGTACGGAACTACAAATTTAGTTCACCAGTTCGGAGTTTCCCTACAGGGTTTGCATGTTCATACGTATGTATGTACATATGAACATTAAGGTAGGCTGAAAATCACATTCTATAAAAAGTCGATTGCATTAATATTCAAATGCCTCCATATCTGAAGAATAAATTAAGTTGAAGTATTTTTTCATACTTTTTCAAATTTTTTTTCTAACTATACGCAAACTTGCCAAAAATGCGGCACACCGCCAACAGTCGTGGGTTTGACAGCATTTTTAGCGATTTGCGCTCTTTCATTTGGTAGTAACTCCTTGCAATTTTTATTTCTGAAAGTGGTTTCTGCGACTTTACAAAAACGGGATATCTTGGTATTTATAAGAGAAAGTACACTTTCGCTTTCGCAGCGAAATGCATACAAAAAGCGGTTGCATTGCTATGTTTAACCGCACTTTATCATATATGTATGTATGTATATGTATTTAAGCATGTATGAATGATGTATATGAGTTACATACATATGTACATATGTATATCTCAACAAATACTTATGTATGGATGTACATATGTATATAGTCATACATATGTATGTGCATATAGAGCATGTTTCATGTTACTGTATGAAAATTCTTGAATTTTTAAGGAAAATTAAACTTTAATTATATTACTGAAAAATCTAAAGAAATTTTCCATCATCCATCAATTAGCATTTGTTTGCATTATTTTATTTTATTTTTGTATCTAAACATTCGGCTTGAAACTTTAAAGGAATTATGTATACATAGCATCTGCTCGATCGTTATGTAAATTTAATTGCGTGTTAATTTTGGTGTTATTGCGAATACATGTCTGTTAGAACATGAGTTGCATTCGCAATCTGAGATGAGCTTGCAATTGCTGCGCAACAAGATGTAAATATTTTCGTTTACAATCCCATACGCAAGCGCTGACTGGCAACTTTCGAAGCCTACCAATTTCAATTAAGTTATGCAAATATTTATTTGTTTTGCCCATATAAGTATGTACGTATTGATATTTTGTTTATTCAGAACTCAAAGGGAAGTCTTCTAAATAGGGAGCAAATTTCTGCATTCTCTGCAATTCCGCGGCAAAATTTTAATAAACGCAGTTTTCGCTTCTTTTTTATTTAATCATCTACATATATCCGAGTCGAAGGATCCATACGCATGATGGCAAATGTGGTTGATTATGTCGATGCCAGTGGCGAATCGAAGGCGGCCTGTATACAGCTCGTGCAGAACGCCACCTCATCTTCTTCTTCGGTACTCGTCACGCGCGTCAACACTGGCCAATAAAACAAGTGGCACAAAAGAGTGATCAAAATTACGTACAGTTATGAAGCTGGTTGTTGTTGTGGTTGCAACAGCATACAAATTCCCCAAATAGTTCTTGGGGAGTATTCCTGTGGTGACAGTCCTTGGCTAGATATAAATCTGGATCATTCCGGTTACGTAGACCCGATAGTCGTGAAGCGGATGTGATACCTATTGCTCAAAACAACCTCCCCTTGAAATTCATACCTGACTATAGCAAGCTTAGAATGAAAAAATCGAAAAAATATAATCAACAGCATCGCTATTCATATGTACATTAGGGTGGTCGAAAAATACGTAGAAAAATCAGATTTTTTCGTATTTTCTGTAGAATCGCTATAAAATCGTTAAAAATACATAAATATTTTTTGATCGAATAAAAATATTTCTCTCCAGAAATGTTCAAAAATTAAAATTATGAGGGATATTTAACTTTAAAAATTAACCAACTATTTTTTTTTAACATGCCTGATGTATTTACTATTACATTAAATAACAACGTTTTTATATAGGAAATTTGATTATCGGTCATGAAAAAGTTGTTACCAAAATATTTTCAGTTCAATATGCAGGGAAATAATCTTAATCGAGCTAAAAATATTTGTTTTTAACGGTGTAAAATACATATACATATGTAAAGTTTCAAAGCCCCGACGGCACTGTTTAATATTAATCGATTTCAAAATACAAAAATACAGTTCTCGTTTTGATCTACCCTTATGTGCAGATGTAAATATGTATATACAAATCTTTTAGTTCAACTAATAATTTGACATATGTATGTACTTGCAGGTGTACGCCAGCTTATTTAAGCCACTCCGCGTGACGAGGCATCAATTCAAAAAGATATTGAATTGTATGAAACTAATACGATCGTTGAAGTACCAGGAGGTGTATGCACAGGAGAAAGTTACCAAAGTTGATAGCTTATCACTCGTACTGTCTGGGAAGTAAGTAAAAATAGTTTACATAAATACATAAGTATGTACAATAAGGTGGTCCTTAAATGTAGGAAGCAAATTTTTACATCAGATTTCCTAAGCCTTAACCCCTACTTCGATGCTACTATTGTCGAAGATATCACATATAAATTTTGGTCCCGATTGGAGACGGTTGAGGCGTGTCGCACAGGGGGCAAAGTTCAGATTACCCTATGAAGACGTCTTAACCGACTCCGATCGAGACCAAAATATATATGTGATATACTCGACATTATTAGTATCTATTTTGGCGATTTTGTGACACGCCTTAACCGGCTCCAATCGGGACCAAAATTTATATGTAATATCTATGACCGTGGTATTACTGATTGAGAGGGTGAGACAGAAAAAAACCGTTAGTTTAATTTTTTAAGAACCACCTTAATGTACAATATGAGTCCTAGAGTAGACGTAGATGTATGTAGTTTTCGCTCATTTACCGAACAAACATTTAGTTTAGAGCACGATTAGAAAACCCGATATCGAGAAAAAGTTTAAATATCTAATCGCCTTCTAACGTTGAATTCTAATTGGTTTCTAATGTTTTATGTTTTTCTAATCATTCCTTAATCGAATTCTAACATAGTTATTTATCCTGATTTGCGATTCAAGGAACTTTAAAAAAGAAAACACGTTAGAATTCTTATGTAGAATCAGTTCTAACTGTATATATATATATATATATAGTACTTATATTTATAAATAATGTTTCACATTTTCCTTTTCAGATTGGTTGTATCACAGAACCAAAGAGCTTTGCATATAGTATTTCCTCATCAGTTCCTAGATTCGCCCGAATGGTTTGGAGTCTCTACTGACGATTATTTTCAAGTATGTACTTAAATAGGATTAAGAAGGATTTTTGGATTTGCATCCCTCCTTTACACACTTTTATTTCTAAATCTTCACAGGTATCTATAATGGCTATGGAAGAGTCACGTGTTCTTATTTGGCATCGTGACAAATTAAAATTATCTATAATGGCCGAACCGTTTTTACAATCGGTCTTCGATCATATTTTGGGGCGGGATGTCGTTAAAAAGCTAATGCAAGTAACTCAGGTTGGTGCCATAACTGTGCTGCTACTATATACTATATACTTCATTTGTCTTCCACTTGATGCTAGGTGAGTGAGTCTATAGCAAGTAACGGGTTTTTGCCAACGGCCAATTATGACGATGCAGAAGACAAACCAATGTTGATTATGAAGAAAAATGTGGAAGGTCATGGACTAACGGCATTAATAAATCGCCAACTTCAAGGTGAGTTTCCGAATGATATACATACATACATATGTACCTACTACCTAAATAGATATTTTGTTTTTGTTTGTGTGTTGTGTGAAAAAGGTAGAAATCTAGATTTATAGGTCGATAAGTACGTTATGGAAACAGGGGATATTAAGTGGAGAATGTAAATTTGGAAAACTGCATATTTAATGAGACATCTGTTGGTCAATACATACTAATACTCGTACATAAAATCATACTATTTAACATAGCGTTACTAACCGTAGATTGGGTAGTGTATTTCGAATGCTAAGAAGTTTTAATTGTTTATCTTCGTACTGGCAGAACGTTACTAACTACTTAAGGATACATGTGTATATGTATGTGTATGTAGTTGGTTGTTGTCAATACTGAATGCCTTTTATGGATTTCTAAAAGTTAGTATTGTTTTATTAATATACATATTTAACGGTATGGCCAAACAAATTTTTTTTCGTGTATACATACATACTTGTACATACATATTTACATACAAGGTTTGTAAATTATGTGCATATAAAGCACCTCTGTAAATAAAGTTTTTTATTTTCTTATTTTAATTGTAAGCGGGTAGATAGACAAACATACATATCGTTACCTTAATGTAGAAAGACCCTATCTAAATTCGCTGCTGAAATGCAACTAAAATTTTTTAGTACATTACGAACCTCCTAAATATATTTTTAGCCGTTTCAAGTTTACGATATACGACACTTACGACACCGTTGTGAATACCCCAAATGTATATTAACATAACTTAACAGTGAAATGCGCGCGGACCTTTACACGTTGGCGATGGCGAATACCGCAGACGATTTAACGATGGGCTGTATGATCTTTACAACGATATATGTGGACATAGTGCAAGCGAATTTGGACTCGGGCAAAATCGTTTAGGCGATTACAGCGCCAATAAAGAAGAAGAAGAATAGTGAAATACTCAAATAACTCTGTTCAGAAAACCGGTTGTACGAGTATTACATGTGGCAATTGAAATAAGAAATAGTTTTTGACATAAAGAAAGAAATGTTATTAAAACTTTCGGGGACAATCTTGAATAATCATTATTAGTTTAAAAAATATTAAGGTAGGTAGTAGGGTGGTCCTTAAGAAATCAACTTCTACGAAAGTTTCAAAAATTTTAAATAATTTTTAGGGCTCGTTACCAAGACTAAAAAAATTTAAATCCAATAAATTTGAGATATTCGGGCATGTGCTGCAAATCGTACGAATTGAAATCAGCGATTTGCAAAACCTACTATGGAGTTTTCTTAACAAAAAGGCAAAATATGGCACTGAATCGATGGATATGACGTAAATGATGTGTTTCTCGCCATTTCCATTTGAAATATTTATTACCTTACAAATATTCAAAAAGAGTTTGCAAATCGCACCGATTACAAATCGCACCGATTTCAAATCGTACGTTTTGCAGCACATGCCTGATAATTGAAAACTATTCGCGTAATTTAATTAATCGCCAGATCAATTCTTTTAATATTAAGCTCAAAAGACTGTATTTTTTAGTACTTTTCGGCAAAAGTGCAGTATTTTTCAAATTTTTCTCAAGTACTAAGTAACACCAGCTTACAAATTATTAACTTGAAAAATACCAAGAAACATTTTATATGGGTAGTTAGTACGGACTGTCTCAGCCCAAAACGCATTTACAATTTTTTTGTTCTTATTTTCTAAATTTTTTGTGGAAGTCCTTATTTTGCACATAGAACAAAGTAAAGCGGTGCCCCATACAAAATTTAGTAGGTTGTCATAGAAAAGAGGCGTTTGCTCTTCTTGCGCCTATTTTTTAGTCTAAAGATCTAAAGTAAAGTATTTTCTTAAAATTGTCACGATATGTGCACGTGGAAGTATATTTTTTCAGTTTTTTTTTGAGCAAGGCATATTTAATATTTTGAAATTATTATAACTATAATTATAAGTAAACGTATTTCTGTGGATGTATGTATGTATTTATGTATATTTTGGAATATCACGTTCTTCCTGAAAATGATCGATATACATATGTACATACTAGCGTGTGCCGAAAATCCGCTTTTTTAGAATTTTGATTGGTAATAGCAAAAATATGAATCATTATGCTCTAAAAAAATATCTGTGTGAAATGTGAAAATTTTTGGTCAATATCTTAGGCTCGCCCAAGTCCATCAAAGTTCAAGTACTAATTTTATTTTTTTTTTTTAACAAATTCGATTCTCTACAAAAAAGGTCCGTATACCAAATTATGTAGGACCAATACTTTAGAAGATTATTGCAATTATAGTAAATAAATGTTTTAATTAATTTATTTATTAATTTTTATTTTTTGAACATATTAACTTTGATGGACTTGGGTGAGCCTAAGATATTGACCAAAAAATTTCAAATTTCACACAGATTTTTTTTAAAGCTAATGAACCATATTTTTGCTATTACTAATCAAAATTCTAATAAAGCGGATTTTCTGGTCCACGCTAATACATACATATATTAATTTGAAATTTTTTTCATTTATTAAGTACCTGTAAGTTGGTGAAGATAATATGTATTTCGTTTTACATTATACTCGTACATATGTACATACCTATATGTAGTGTATACGCATCTGAATATTTTATAGATATTATTTGTGCACATAATAGACGCGTATATGTCATATGTATATTTTTAAACGCAAAATAATACAAAATTTTAAGTTTCGTCTTGCTGGATTTTTGCAATCATTTGAGCTTACGTACTCATCACTTAACCATACACTTAGAATATATGCACCTTGGACCCTACCATCTTACTAGCAAACAAAAAAATTTCGCCGTACACCCCTGAGTCTAGGGAAGTTTTGTCGGGCAATTTAAAATTTTTATTTTTTTTTTTTTACTTTTTTACAGAACTCGGTAGTTCTACTGGAATAATCGAAATACTTACTTAGCAAAAGTTTAACGATTTTTGGAGAGCTTTAATTTACTGACATTAGGGTGGTACGTTAGGCTGGTAAGAACTGAGGTCTGGTGGGTGCCTACAAAAACGGGTACTTGAGGTCAATGAGCTTTGGGGGAAAAATTGTCTCCTCGCGACACGAACATCGATATTGTACTTATTATACTTTAAAAATTTTAAAATTTTTTTTTATGTTTTTCCAAATTACCTTGCACAAGTACTTTAAACTCAGGGGTCTGCGCTAAACATTTTCCTGGTATGGTCCAATGTACATATGGATGTACATACATATGTAAATATGCAAAAATAACCATTTTCATTTGAGTATGCGTGCACATAAAGCTGTATGTTTATTTATGCAAATACATATATGATTTTACTTGTACTCGTATCCTATATTTTTGTTATTTATTCTTTATGTTGTTGTTCTTTTTTTAGAAGAGCATGTACCATTACTTGGCCGTACCTATAACACCAAAACAATGCGTTTGGTGACTAATCCACCAGTGCAAGCGACAAGCGAAAAAATCCCATACCCATCTGCTGGCCATACAAATTCCGCACGCAAAGAGTTAACGTCTCCATGCTAACTGAAAATGAATGACTGAGGCTAAGCGAGCGATATAAAATCGCAAAATCGTAAGCGCAGGCAAAAAACGCGGCCTCAGGTGCAGGTGCAAACGCAAATGACGCTAAACTTAACGGTACAGTCATTTGACTGCATTCACGCCCAATGCCGCCCACACGCCACCAACGCTTCCACCACCGTCCCCCAGATACACAGATACCCGAAAATGCCATCATACTCATACTTACTTACTTACGTACATATTTATGCATAACTAACATTCATCTAAACACATAACAGCTTTTTTATAAGTTTATAAACCAACATTCAAAGTTCTAAATGTTTTATATAAATATAAATACATACATGTGTATGTATGTATGTACGGTCATACATGTTGTATGTTAGTTCATTTACAAATATGTGCATACATATATATTGTGTATTTATATTTAAAAAAAAAAATAAACCAATTCCTAATTTTTCTAAACCTCTTTCATTAAAATTTATTTATTATTGCACTGTAAAACATGTTTTTAATTATATGTACATATATGTATGTAAAACCACCATTCTGAAGACGACATCTAAGATCAATCTGAAAAGTGCTCATTAAACGAAATGTATTTTTATTTATTAATCAATTAAAATTTAGACATTTGTATTTAAATTATATATGTACTATGTACTTGTACCAAAAAGAAAGAGAAGCAAAGCTAATCCTATGACAAAGTGTAATTACAAACTAAAATTTAGTATAAATTTGTGTATTTGTGTAAGCTAATGTGAATAAAAAAAAAGTTTATACAAAGCATTTACAATTGGATACTAAATATTAAGGGGAGGGAAACTAAAGCGCTATTTTACGAGCCGCATTTAACAAGGCTGATTCCGCAGTTGCACATTTTTACATTTGTATGCGCATGTGCAAATAGCATACATACCCTGCAGCAATAAGGCGGCCAATTTTCCGTTAAGGACTAGTACTTCACTGGTTAAAATTTGACTGGTCAGAATTGGACATTTGCTTGCATCGAAAATGTCAGCCTTCGACCAGTCCCCAAGGTACCGGTCTAGAGATAGACGAAAAGTACAGTTTGGCAGTGACAGGGTGGTGTTGTCTTGCTATTCAATAACAAAATTTAAAGAACACCACCCTGTAAATGTCCCAATAGCTTGGTCTGGTCTTGATGAAAAGTGAACATTTGAACACACATTTAGATGCGTGGCTGTAGCTCAGTGCGCAGAGATGCTTGCCACTATTTGTTAGCTTTCAGGAGGGTCCGGGTTCTCAAATGCCGTCAGAAGCAACATGGTTATAAAATGATAATTTTTTTTTTTGTGTTTCCAAATTATGAAAAAGAATCTGCGAAGTGCAGAACGCAATCTTACTCCAACGAAAAAAATCTCCAAAATTGGACTAAACCAGGACTATCTTACGGTCAGTGTTGATTGGACCGGTCCTTTTCCAATGACACGCCAATGCTAAAAATGGCAGGGGAATTATGAGGGATTAGTGCTGGTAACAATAGGGACTATCTGAGGGCTAACCTGGGGTGAGTCTGAATTGCTGCAGGGTACATATATATGTATATATAGTTTTTAAGTAGGTATGTCGTTGGAAATTCTGCTAAATTGAAGAGTACTATCATAAATTGGCTGAACATGGAGCGTTGCACTTAATCGTACGTCAGGAATTATAGAATTGGGGTAATTTTATCAGACTTCATAGCTTCACCTTAAACATGATCAGCAATAAAATCGAGGCTTTAATTATTCAGTTTATATGAAATGTCATACAGCCGTTATAAAAGCGCCAATTTCTGCTATCACTCAAGGGAAGTCTGAAATACATATCGCTAATTTGCTGTAAGAGCGTCAAACGGCATTGAAGTTTACAGTTTTTCTTTAAGTGTGCTACTGCATACTTAACTCAAAATAATTTTGTTTGGATTATGACGCTCTTGTAGCAAATGATGTGTATGTAACAGGGAAAGTTAAAAGCGACCTAAGGCTCGAATATAAGTTTTTGTGAAAAGAGACTTTAAAGTATGACTAGGGGTTGTAATTGATTAAAAAATATGAATATCCAGATACCCGGATATTTAGCGGATATCCAGATAATAAAATTAACGGATATTAACCGGATATCTGGATTTGATCCAAATACATGGATATCCGAATATACGGATAGTCCCAACCCTACTGTAAATGAAAGTGTCCATCTTTGAAGGGAATTCGCGAAAAAAACAGAGACGTAAAATACTCGTTACATTTTTTTTAAATTTTATTTAAAAACTCAAGAAGTTCTAAGCGTCACAAAAAACTCGCGATCACACCCAGATATGTTTCTATCAAAGATTTATATTTTTTGAATTAAAAAAAAAAAAATTAAAAGAAAAAAATAATAATAATACGTAGTCAAATTTAAAAAAGTCGCGTAACATGGAATTCCACAAGTGTGAACCCAGTTGAGTAACAGAAAACTGTACACCAAAGTCGCAAATACACCCGCAAAATCTGTGTTTACGATCAAAAAACCGTATTTCGGAGGTCTCATACTTTGAGTTTTATTTTTATCACTTAATAGTAATGGTGAACATCAATAATCTGACATTTTGACGATTTTATTTATGTATATTTTCTAAATTTCCACCGAAATATTTAACTTTTCAATTCGATTTCTTAGACAGATTTTGAGTCAGCAGTTTTGTTAAATTTTAGTACTATAAAGTGAAAGTTTCAAGTCACTAAAAATTAGCATTGATTTTTGAGATTTTTTTTTTTTCATTTTCTCTTATATAACGAATGAACTAGGGATGCCAAAAAATATGCCCGGGATTTCGGGATATTTTTTCAGTAATAAATCCCGGGATCCACATTGAGATATAACGAGTAAAAATTCTATATCTGAAAGCTATTTAAAATTTACGATAAACTGATTCTAAAACTCACATATTCATTAATACAGACAAATCATAAAGTAATACAGTTTTTAAATTGTATTTGAAAAGCTCAACGCATACAACACAAACAACAATGTAAATACCAGGTACTTTTGAAAGTAATGATTAGTAAAAAAAAACATTAAACAAAAATATACAAAAACGAATTCTCTGAACATGTTTATTCTACTCCAGATAGAAATGGCGAATTTTTTTGCCATAAGTCTGCTTAGGTTAAGTGTGAAAAACATTGCATTTGACAATGAGTAATGATTTTGGTAAGTGATTTTTTGCGTACAATTTTCTATACATATGTACAAATTTATGTACCTACGAGCTACATATGAATGTATGTATGTAGAAATGTAGTCAGTTAGTAGTTTAACATAAAATGTTGTTATTCTTTGAATGATGCGGTTGCAAGTTGTGCTGTATGCTAGAACATTTAAATTTATATTTATTTTTTCTTAATTTTTATATGTATATTTTTCTCTTGTTGCCGTTTCTTTTTTCCAACAAAACAACTGTTGCGTTAATAATCCAACTTTTTGTGGCGAAAAGCAGCCATACCGAGGATATCGAGATACTATGATTGTGGTAAGTTAAATTTGTATTTACATGCATGTAGAGCGGTAATTTCTGAAAGCGCGTATGAACATACATACATGCATTTATATGCAACTGCATATCCTCACAATCAATGCAAAAAGCCCCCTATTTGACAAATTTCAGTTTTCGCCATGATATGGTAGCACATAAACTGATTGTAAAACAAAACGCATTTCCAAAAACCTTTTAAATGGGACTGTATGCATTGATGACGACTATATGTAAATGGGGCATTCCAGCCCAACACGCACACCACTTGGCTTTTGCATGTCCGATTTTTATTTTTTATGTTATGGTACCAATTGAGAGAGGCCTCCCTAATTTTTCCATTTCTTTTCGTCCAGCCGTTTTCGAGATATCGATTTTTGAAAATAACGTGCTGTTTTTTAAATGCCCACAACTTTGCTAAAAGTTAGCGGATTAGGTACTTTTTTTTCGAAATTTTGAAAACACTTTTGGAAAATGAAATCGAAAAAAATTTTCAAACCCTCATTTCTAAAAAAATATTCAAACCCGTATAAAATTCTGATTTTCAAAAAAGCACGTGCGTACTAATTGAATTCCTTGAAACTTTTTTTTTTTAAAAACTCACTAATTCCGCAACTTATAAGTCTGGTCGGCTAATAGGATAACGGTGAGATCTATATATTATCTATTAAGCACTACCCTGCGACTTGTCACTTTCGCGAAATCGATTTATAAATTCAATCATATTTTTTTGTATGAAATATGAGCCAAGTGGTGTCCGCTGCCAATGCGCCCTTTGTCTGAATAAATATAAATATATGTGTAGTATATATTTAATTAACAAGTATATAATGTGTGTATTTCATGTAATATAATTGTAAATGGACAAATAAATGCAAACCTTTAGACCGATAATAATGCAATTATTTTTCCCTAGATATTGTATTGTATATTGTGAGTGCATGTTTTGCTAAATTTGCATTGATTTTTTTTTTTTGCATGAATGCGGATATTTCCTTTTTAAAAGCTTTTATTTGACTTGCTCTGTATTTTTAGTTTTATGTACTCTCATAATTGTGGAGTCATTTTCACTGCATGCAACAATCACAAACAGCGACACTTGGTTTAGCAAACATACATACATATAGACAGGACTGTCTCTTGACAAGCCCCTAATAACGCCCAGTTTTTCAGTGCAAGTTTAAACTTAGATCACGTATGTAGGTTGGCTAACATTAATTTAAACCAACCAGCTCGAGCGTTAAAAAATTTTCCCAGCACGAATTTGCAAGCAGGATTGTAGCACACGGTTGCATTTTTGTCAACAATAATTTGAATCAACAAGTTTGTTAAATTTAAAAATGAACAATCTTGTTGCGATTTACTAATGAAAATAATATGTAAATATTTGTTTATTCAATTAATTTAATTAATTCCAAACATTTGAACGATACTCAGCTGAAAAAGCTGTATTCGTAATCGCAACGCAGTCAACACCACTGTCGATATAGGAAATCCGGCAGTGACTTCCACAAAGAAATTAAAGCGTATGTTGAAGAAAGTCAGAATAAGAAGAAATATACGTATAGGTCCTGTTTTGTTTTCCACCTGAAATAATTTAAAAAATTTATTATGCTCGAAATACAACTGTGGATGCTAGCTGGCAGTGAAGCTTGCAAATGTTTGCTAATTCTTTTTCGCGCAAAACTTAGTAAGTTTCTCGATTTGGGAGAGAGTAAGATTACTTATTCTCTGAATTTTGTTACTGGCTAATTCTTACTGGCTTTTGTATAGCGAACAGAACTATGTATATGAGTTTAATACCACTGATAGGCTGGTGATAGCATTAGTTGCGATCCCATACGAGTCCGGACTAGTCAGAAATAGTCAGAATCAGTCAGATTTTACTGGAAATCGATCCCCCCGTACTCG